TCCTGCTGCTGCTCCACCGCAGGCAGCAGATAAAACTGAAAGAGGAGCAGCACGAGCAAACAGGGCATGACCCGTAAGCAGGTAAAAGGCGCTCCACCCGAAGCACCAGCTGTCCACGCGAGAAGCCAAGTAGGGGCGCCCGCTGCTGCTGCTGCTGCTGCTGCTGCTGCTGCTGCTGCTGCTGCTGCTGCTGCTGCTGCTGTCTTCGGAGGGGAAGCTTTCAGGGGGGCGGAAGGCCTTGCCGAAGCTGCCCGTGTAAGGGGTTAACTCCTCTTCTGCACCTGGGCAGCAGCACTGCAGCCAACGGTCCTCAGCTGCTGCTGCTCCTGCTGCTGCTGCTGCTGCTGCTGCTGCTGCACCGCAGCTGCAGCAAGGCGACGGCTTCACCCGGAAGCACGTGGCCTGCCCCGGGTCGCACACCTTGACAGTTACCTCCCAGTCCTCCGCAGGCAGCCCGTCCTCTTCCCGCTGCTGCGCAGAACTGCTGCTGCTGCTGCTGCTGCTGCTGCTGCTGCTGCTGCTGCTGCTGCTGCTGCTGTGGGGCGGCGAGAGAAAAAGCAGACAGTTCTCTAAACTAAAGTCCTGCAGCGCAATGCCCCTGCGGTGCAAAGAGGCGAGGCCCAGCAGCGCCTGGAACAGCAGCCGGCGCCCCACAGATTCGCAGACGCCCCCGCAGGCCCCGCGGCAGCTCCTGCTGCTGCTGCTGCTGCTGCTGCTGCTGCTGCTGCTGCTGCTGCTGCTGCTGCTGCTGCTGCTGCTGCTGATTCTGGTGCTGCTGCTGCTGAAGCTGCCGAGGGCGGTGGAGGGGGAAGAAACGAAGGGCGGGGAGCCTGCAGCCCCACGAGCAGGCGGCCGGCCGCCGCTGCTGCTGCTGCTGCTGCTGTTGCTGCTATCAGGGGAATTGTCTGCTGCTGCAGGCGGGCTGCGAGTAGCAGCAGCAGCAGCTGGACCCACTTTGAGGGGCAGTGCCCCAGCCACAGCACTTGCAATGGCCCCGCCTGCAGCGGAAAGGGCAGCAGCAGCAGCAGCTGCTGCTGCTGCTGCAGGAGACGGGGACCGCAGCCTGGGTGTTTTAGAAGGCGCAGCAGCAGCAGCAAGCTGCAGCAACTCCAAAAGGTCTTCCCCGTGAGCCCAGTGGGAAGTTATGTAATAGTGTTTCTGGTCTTCAAATGCCTGCACAGGCGCACAGCAGCAGCAGCAGCCGCGCACTTCCTGCAAGTTTGCTGCTGCTGCTGTTGCTGCTGCTGCAGCTGTTGCTGCTGCTGCAGCAACATCAGATGCTGTAGGGCAGGCGTGTGCTCAGAGAGGCCGAGCAGCGGCTGTAAGAGCAGCAGTAGCTGCACTATCAGCAGGAATACTTGCTGCGGCAGTAGCAGCGGCAGCAGCAGCAGCAGCAGCGGCAGCAGCAGCAGCAGCGCAAGCAACAGCAGCAGCAGCAGCAGCAGCAGCAGCAGCAGAGCAGCAGCATACCTCGATTAGAGAGTGCACAAAAGGGAGACCTTGTGTGAAATCGGAAAAGAAGACTTCAGCTAGCGGCGTCTCTGGGACAAGGTTTAGCAGCAAATGCAGCTCTTTGTCGCGGCACGCAGTTGCTGCTGCTGCTGCTGCTGCTGCTGCTGCTGCTTCAGCCGACACCGCCCGCCCTTCTGCTACTGCTTGCGCCAGCTCCAGCTGCAGCTGCACCAGCCTCTTGTCGACTGCCTTAATAGCCACGCGCATGCAGCGCCGCCTTTGCTCCCTGCTGCTGCTGCTGCTGCTGCTGCTGCTGCTGCTGCTGCTGCTGCTGCTGTCAAGCAGCAGCACGCCCTCATAAAGGGGGCCAAAGAGAGTCTTCTGGTGGAGCGGCAGCAGCAAATAACGGCCCCCTGAAGGGGACAAGAGACACTCGAGAGCCTCAGGCGCGCTTCTTGCTGCCCCGTCCACGGGGTCGCTGCTGCTGCTGCTGCTGCTGCTGCTGCTGCTGCTGCTGCTGCTAGAAGCTGCTGCCATTCTGCTGCTGGGACTCCGGCGGTTGCGCCTGAACTGTGGGGAGAGCGACACTGAAGGTGGCAGCATAAGGCGGCCCTGATGCCGCTGCTGCTGCTGCTGCTGCTGTTCTGGTTGCTGCTGCTGCTGCTTCTGCTGCTGCTGGGGGCTGCCACTGCTGTTTGTTCTGCCTTCCGAAACAGTAAGAAGTGGCATTTTGGCCTTCCCATTTGCTGCTGCATTTGCTGCTGCTGCTGCTGCTGCTGCTGCTGCAGATAATGAGGAACTCACCAGTGCATGCCTTTCTGCAGCAGGCACTGTGGCCCGCTGCGCCATTGCAAGTTGCTGCTGCTGCTGCTGCTGCTGCTGCTGCTGCTGCTGGTACGGCGCCTGAAGCTGCGGCAGCTGCTGCGGCGCCGTCTCCCCAGGAGGCCTTCTGTGTTGTCTTGGGGCCTGCAGTCCTTCAAAGCCAAGCCGGCAGTTCATAGGAGCAGCAGCAGCAGCAGCAGCAGCAGCAGCAGCAGCAGAAGCTTGTTTTGCTGCAGCTGCTGCTACTGTCGTGACTGGGGAAACTGGTACGCTGCTGCGCATGGCGCCCGCAGCCGCAGCAGCCATGAAGGCCCTTGAAGGCTGCTGCCGCCGATATTGATGCTGCTGCTGCAGCTGCTGCTGCTGCTGCTGCTGTTGCTGCTGCAGTGGCTGCTGCTGTGGCTCCGGCAGTTGGTGCTTTTGTGGCTGCTGCAGTTGCTGCTGCTGTGGCTGCTGCAGTTGCTGCTGCTGTGGCTGCGGCAGTTGGTGCTTTTGTGGCTGCTGCAGTTGCTGCTGCTGTGGCTGCAGCAGTTGCTGCTTCTGTGGCTGCTGCGGTTGCTGCTGCTGTGGCTGCTGCAGTCGCTGCTGCTGTGGCGGCTGCAATTGCTGCTTCGGTGGCTGCTGCAGTTGCTGCTGCGGTGGCTGCGTCAGTTGCTGCTGCTGTGGCAGCTGCAATTGCTGCTTCGGTGGCTGCTGCAGTTGCTGCTGCAGTTGCTGCTGCAGTTGCTGCTGCTGAGGCTGCGGCTTCGGGGGCACTGCTGCGTGGGCTGGTAGGACTGTTGTTGCTGCTGCTGCAGCATTAGCAGCAGCTGCAGCAGCCGCTGCAGTTGCTGTCGATTTGACCCCAGCCAACTTTGCTGCTGCTGAGTGTATATCTGCAGACGAGTAAAGTAGTGGAGGCTTCGGCAGCTGCTGCTGCGGCGCCGGCTGCTGCTGTAGTTGCTGCTTTTGCTGCTGCTGCTGCTGCTGCTGCTGCTGTTGCTGCTGCTGCTGCTGCTGCTGCTGCAGCGTATACTGCTTGGAGGAGCTGCGACACATTCGAGAGCTCCTTAGAAGGCAAGGCTTTAGTGGGTAAAGCGGCAGCTCCTGGTTTGACGGTCCCAAAAGCTGCTGCTGCTGCAGCTGCTGCTGCTGCTGCTGCTGCTGCAGCTGCTGCTGCTGCTGCAGCTGATGTAACTGGTGCGGGTGTATCTGCAGCAGCAACTGCTGCTGCTGCATGGGTTGCTGCGGAGAATATTCGGGGCTGCCATTCCTACTCAGAGGCTTCAGTCGAGCCCCTTCTTGCTGCTGCTGCTGCTGCATGTGAAATGGCCCGGGCGAATCGGCCCTGCTGCTGCAGCAGCTGCTGCTTCTGCATACAGCATTATGAACTTTGCTGCTGCTTGAAAAGGCCTCCATGGGTTTCATAGCCAAGTGCTGCTGCTGATGCAGCGCTTTCTGCTGCCTGTGCTGCTGCTGCTGCTGCTGCTGCTGCTGCTGCTGCAGCGCCTGCTTGGGGGCAGCAGCAGCCCCAGTTGACTCCATAGTGAGGCCGCAGCAGCAGCAGATGAGGAAGCTAAAGAGAAAAGGAAGTGGCGGGTGGGCCCCGGGGCGGCCAGGGTCACCTGTGTGCTGCAGCAGCAGCAGCAAGGGGCCTTCTTTGCGCTGCTGCTGCTCGCTGCTGCTGGTTTCGAGCTGCTGCTGCTGCTGCTGCTGCCAAACTTGGAACTGATTTTCCTCTGCTGCAGGGAAAAGAATGAGAGGCGCCCGCAGCAGAGCACATGCAGCGAAGGTTATCGCTGCCGACTCGGCTCCGTGCTGCTGCTGCTGCTGCTGCTGCTGCTGCTTGCTGCTGCTGCTCAAGATCAAAGGCTAGGCAGTCTCTCTTAGCGCTGCAGAGCAGCAAAAGTCATATTTTTCTTTTTCTTAGCGTTCAGAAGCGTGCTGCTGTTGTTTCGCTGCAGCTACAGCGGCGCAGTCAGCTGTCGATGCTGCAGCAGCAGCAGCAGCAGCAGCAGCAGCAGCAGCGGGAGGCTGAAACCAAGCTGGAAAGGAAGACACAGAAGAGAGACTCAGTAAAAAGAGACAAAATAGGAGAAGAGGAGTAGATGTGTTCAAATAGTAACGGGGGCTGCAGAGACAGCAGATGCAGCGGGCGCTTCAGACGCAGCGGCCTCAGCAGCAGCAGCAGCAGCAGCAGCAGCTGCTGCTGCTGCTGCTGCTGCTGTTGCTGCTAATGTTCTTGGCCGCGTCGTCGCTGCTGTTGCCGCTATAATTGACACAAGCAAGTCAAAATATATCAGTGAAAATAAATATAGTTGACCTGGCGCTGGAGCTATGCACTGCAGCAGCAGCAGCAGCAGCAGCAGCAGCAGCGTGACCTGCTTGTCGAGCCTGTTGCAGCTGCTAGCACACCTCCTTCAAGGAACTTTTGCCAGCATTTGCTGCAGCAGCTGCATTTAATTGGGTTTAGTGTTTAGGGTTTTCAATTAGGGTTTAGCAGCAGCGCCCGGTGGTTTGGGGTTTAAGACAGCAGCAGCGCTGCTGCTGCTGCAGCGAGCTGCGGCCCAGCGGGGAGGCTTCGAGAGTACCGTTAAGGGTTTAGGGTTTAGGGTTTAGGGTTTAGAGTTCCGAAGCAGCACGAACAATGTCTTTGTCCTGTAAGCCTCATCTTCCTGCAACTCTTCTGTCTCCGGTGCTGTTGCTGCTGCTGCTGCTGCTGCTGCTGCTGCTGCTGCTGCTGTCGCTGCTGTTGCTGCTGCTGCTGCTGCTGTCGCTGCTGTTGCTGCTGCTGCTGCTGCTGCTGTGCAGCATTGTCAGCTCTTAGTGAGCGGTGCTGCTCCTGAGGCAGCAGACTGGAGCCGCGCCTTTGGGGTGTACGTACACCGCAAAGGCGGCAGCCGCACAGCAACACGAAAACAGCAGCAGCAGCAGCAGCAGCAGCAGCAGCAGCAGCAGCAGCTCTTTGCTGCTGCGCTTTACGCTTTGTCTCTTTGGCCAGGCTCTTGGAGTGTATGTACACCTCAACTGCTTGTGTGGGCGGCTCACCGCATACTCGCGTGGACTCAAAGCAGCAGCAGTAGCAGCAGCAGCAGCAGCAGCAGCCGCAGCTGCTGCTGTTGCAGCTGTTGCTGTTGCTGCTGCTGCTGCTGCTGCAGTTGCTGTGCGTCCCGCTCTAAGTCTTTTGTCCCCCGCTGCCGGCGCTTGGCAGCGTCTACCAGCTGCTGCTGCCTCTCATTTAGCTGCTTCAGCTGCTGCTGTTGCTGCTGTTGCTGCTGTTGCTGCTGCTGCTGCTGCTGCTGCTGCTGCTGCTTTGCTTCTCCGTTTCTCGTTTTTTCTCTTTTGCTGCTATTTAATTTAGACTTGACTAGATCTTTGGGGTCCCTTTTTGAAATTATTTTTTTTGCAAAAAACTTCAAAGAAGTAAAAAGAAATAAAAAACATTTAATTGTCTTTTTCTTTTTTAAAATGTTTTTAAAAAAGAAATAATTTCAAACAAACAAGTAAATAAATATGCAGGTTCTTTCTTTTGCAAATTTACAAAAGGTGAATTATAAAAATAAAAGATATAAATTTTGAAAAATGCATTTAAATGAAATAAATAAATTAAATATAAGTAGAATTAAAAGAACTAAATATGTCATAAAGACAAAAGACAATTAAATGGACTTAATTGGACTAAAATGGATCCAATTAATTGCATAAAACGCATGCAAAGGGGCCTCTAAAGTACAAAATAAAATATAAATAAATAAATAAATTTTTAACTTCAAAAAGCATTTAAGAAATCCCCCAAGTGCGCCTTTCGCAGGTGTACGTACACCGCAGCGGCGGGAGCTGCATGCATGCAAAGCTTCCGAAATAAATCCTTTTGGCCTCCAATTGCTTTTAATTGCATTTAGAAAGTGCATTTAATTTTACAAAATGAAACAATTATATAAATGAGGACTTTCTGTCTTTTCAAATTCATTAAAAGCTGCTGAAAAGGACACTTTTAGCCACAAACGAGGTGTACGTACACCTCAGAAAGGCCACTTTCAAGAACTTCTTCGGATTCAATTGACTCTTTTCTTTTTCTTTTTTGGCTCTTTTTGTTTTCCTTTTAAAACCCCTTATCTCTATTTATCTTTTTAGCTTCTTCCGCCTTTTTCAGCTCCTCAGTGCTGCTGCAGCAGCAGCAGCAGCTGCTGCTGCTGCTGCTGCTGCTGTTGCTGCTTCCACCCTGCAGCTATTATTTGCTGCTCCGTGTTCTTCTCTTCTGGGGACGGCTTACAGTGTCTAGTGTCTAGAGTTCAGGGTTTAGGGTTTAGGGTTTAGGGTTTAGGATTAATGATTTAGGGTTTGTTATTTAGCGTTTAGGGTTTAGGGTTTAGGGTTTAGGGTTTAGGGTTTAGGGTTTAGGGTTTGGCGAGTTCGCCTGCACAGACCTCGCTCTCCCCTTTTTCCCCTTCTTCTTCTCTCTTTTAAAATTGCAAATTAAAATTAAATTATAATTATTAAATTCAATTTAAATCATTTATTTAATTCTTTTGCTGCAGTCTAGGGCGTTGGGGGCCCCCCCTGGGGGCCCCTGGGGGCCCCCGGGGGCCCCCGGGGGCCCCCCAGGGCCCTGGGGTGTCTGTACACCTCAGATGTCTTTAAACCCCACACTCTGTACATACACTCCAGAAAGCTTCTCCCTGAGGGCTGTCTCCCTGCCTGCTGCTGCAGGGGGCCTGTCTGCTGCTGCTGCCCATTCCTGCTGCTGCTGCTGCTGCTGCTGCTGCTGCTGCTGCTGCTGAGGTGCTCCGCTGGGATCGGCCGATCCCAGCCCGAGTCTTTCGCAACATGCTGCGGGGGGCGCTGCAGTCTCGTGTGCGGCTGCCCCTGCTGTTGCTGCTGCAGCAGCTGCTGCTGCTGCTGCTGCTGCAGCAGCAATGCAGCGGCCGCATCCTCGTTGGCTCCTCAGGCGCCTCTTCGACTTCCCCTCATGAGGCAGCCGCGTCAGGAGCAGCAGCAGCAGCAGCAGCTGCTGCTGCTGCTGCTGCTGCAGCAAACCGCCCGAGCGTCGTCTCTGGGCAGCCGGGCGCCTGCCGAGCAGCAGAGGCGCCTGCTGCCGCAGCAGCAGCAGCAGCAGCGCCCGCAGCAGCAGCAGCAGCAGCAGCGCCTGCAGCAGCAGCAGCAAAAGGCGGCGCTGCAGCTCGGGCGTGTTTGGGATTTTTCAGCCGGAGCCCGCGCTCCGCGCATCTGCAGCAGCAGCGCAGCAGCAGCAGCAGCAGCAGCAGCAGGGCGTTTGGGCTGCTGCAGCGAAGCTTGTGGGGCCGGGAGCTGCTGCGCTGCTGCAGCAAAGTGTACAGGGCCTACGTGGGAGTTCCTGCTGCTACTCGCTGGTGGCTGTCTGCTGCTGCGCTGCTGTCGCTGCTGACGGCCTGGCCGCAGCAGCAGCCGCTGCTGCAGCAGCAAACCCTTTGCATGCACTGGGGGCGTGTGGGGAGGGCCCTGGAAGTCTGGAGGCCCCTCACGGGGGCCCTTTACCAGGGGCCCCCCTCTTGGGGGACTTTGCTGCGGCTTGCTGCAGCAGCAGCAGCACTGCAGCAGCTGGAGGCGACGGAGCGGGGGGCGCTGCTGCAGCAGCCGCTGGACGCTGCTGCTGCTGCTGCGCTGCCTGCTGCGCCGGGGCGGCGGCTGCAGCAGCAGCAGCAGCGGCTGCTGCTGCTGCAGCGCGAGCTGCAGCGCCAGTGGCGCGACCCCCAGGAGTTCGCTGCTGCTGCTGCTGCGGCCTCCGGCACTGCCCACCTGCTGCAGTTCCTGCTGCTGCAGTGTTTGCTGCTGGCAGCAGCAGCGGGGCCCCTCAAAATGCCCTTCTATGGGGGCCCCCTTGCTGCTGCTGCTGCTTACCTGCTGAGCCGCAGCAGCCCCCACACTCTCGTGCTGCTGCCGCTGGGCTTCAGGGCCCCACACTGGCTGCTGCCCTTCGCAGCAGCAGCAGCAGACGCGCTGCAGCAGCAGCAGCTGCGCGGGGCCCTGCCCGCGCTGCTGGGCATTGCCACGGGACACGTCTTCTACCTCCTCAAAAAAGTAGGGTTTAGGGTTTAGGGTTTAGGGTTTAGGGTTTGGGGTTTGGGGTTTGGGGTTTAGGGTTTAGGGTTTGGGGTTTGGGGTTTGGGGTTTGGGGCGGCTCTGGGCGAGGACAGCTGCGGGGGTCCTGGCCGCCGCTGAAGCTCGAGGGTTTAGGGTTTAGGGTTTAGGGTTTAGGGTTTAGGGTTTAGGGTTTAGGGTTTAGGGTTTGGGTCTGCAGGTCATTCCGGCGAAGACGGGCATTCAGGTGCTGCCCTTTCCCGCGCTGACTTATCGTTTGCTGCTGCAGCAAAAGGCAAGAGCAGCAGCAGCAGCAGCTGCTGCTGCTGCTCCTCCTCCTCCCAAAATAAGCAGCAAATATCTAAAGTGACCTTTCCGCCACGCAGCAGCAGCAGCAGCAACAGCAGCAGCAGCAGCAACAGCAGCAGCAGCACAGAGTCTGTGCTGCTGCCACGGCTAGCCACAGCTAGCCACAATTACCCACAGCTAGCTGCAGCTAGCTGCTGCAGCTAGCTGCTGCAGCTAGCTGCTGCAGCTAGCAGCAGCTAGCTGCTGCAGCTAGCTGCAGGCAAAGGCTGGGGGTGTGGGGCGTGGGGTGTACGTACACCCGACGGACTTCGCTGCGTGTCTTCGAAAGTTTATTTCTGCAAATAAAAAAGTGCTTTTTATAGAACAAAAGTGCTTTTTATAACTTCTTTTATCTGAATTGCTTTTTGACTCTTTGCTGCTGCTGCTGAGCGGTGGGGTGTACGTACACCCCAAAGCAGTGTGGGGTGCAAACAGCTGCAGAGCTGCGCGCCAAAACGACCTGCGAAGCAGCAGCAGCAGCAGCAGCAGCAGCTGCTGCTGCTGCTGCTGCTGCTGCTGCAGTGGGGGACACTGGCAGACCTAGGGCGGCCGGTCCCCTCTTGGGCGGCGCTGCTGGGCTGGCTCCCCTTGCTGCTGCTGCTGCTGCTGCTGCTGCTGCTGCTGCTGGTCCAGCGCTGCACGCTGTAAACCCTGGAGGGTGTCTATTAAACCCTAAACCCTAAACCCTCGACTGCAGCGCGGGGGTATTCCTGCAAAGTTGCTTCCAGAGTGTCTGTGGAAGGGAAATTGAGAGGGTTTTAGCGCAGTATTTAGGGTTTAGGGTTTAGGGTTTAGGGTTTAGGGCAGCATGCACCCGGAGCGGGCTGGAGGCAGCAGCGGCTGCTGCTGCAGCAGCAGCTTGTGCTGCCTAGCTGAGGTGTACGTACAGCTCATCTGCAATATAGAAATATAATTCTTTATTTCGCAGCTTAGAAGGCAGCAGAAGCAGCTTCTGGAGTTCTTGCTGCTGCTCCCTGTGTAGCTAGCAGCAGCAGCCGCAGCCGCCTTGACCGGAAACCCTAAACCCTAAACCCTAAACCCTAAACGCTGACCGCGGGCGTCTTCCTCGCCCGTGGACTCATTTGCTGTTTTGAGCCCGCTGGCTGTGGGACACACCGCAGCAGCAGCAGCAGCAGCAGCAGGAAGAGGAGCAACTGCAGCAGCAGCAGCAGCAGCAGCAGCAGCTACAGGAACAGCAGCAACTAAGCTCGATTTCTTTTGTTTCTGTTGAAGAGGGAGTTATAGAAGCACACGGCTCCTGGGGGTCGCTGACACTAGCTGCTGCTGCTGCTGGCATTCTGGGGTGCTGCTGCTGCTGCTGCTGCTGCTGCAGGTGCCGCTG